CCATCTGGGCTCCCAGATCTCTTACCCTTAGCATCAGAAAATGAAAAAGGAATCAATAAAGGTAACAACAAATAATAATTTCAAGACCTAGATAAAGAAAGTTCAGGTCAAAAACAGTTTCTCAAGTAACATGAACAACAGACACATTAATATGCTAAGGGTAGCCTACATGCAAGTGGTAACAGAAAACAGAAGGGAAAATTGAAGAAAGCTCACGGATATTCTGCCTCTAAACCAGTTAGCTAGCTGATTAACCAGTTTCATTTTGAGGACCAGGAAAGGGAATCCAGATTTAATTCCTAGTTAGCCATTAACTACATGTACTCATTTAAAGTTCTCCAGGCCTCACTTTATCTCTAAAATGAGAACAAATGCAACTGTCAATGCAATTTAACAGTTACTATGCAAATGAATAAGAAACACAGCTCTTGCTATAAATTCTGGCATCTCTAAATTCTATGACAGTTGTGGCTAAGATTTTCCACTTTTAGAATAATTGGGTTTACTGAGAATACAATTGACAGTTCTAAATTTGATTTTGAGGTATCTTCTAAACTTCAGATGTATCAAAACCACTTGATGCAGAGCTCATCACCAAGAAATGGTTCCACAGTGGACAATTCCACTTGAATACTGATAAATGTAACCATGTTGTTCTACTGGACTTCATAGACAAAGAGCTTTATTTTTACTTTTGCTGTTTCTGGGGGCTTGGCAATGCCAGATTAAACTAGTATTTTTTTATTTACTGACCAACTCATGCCTAGGTTAGTTAAGGGGCTTTTTTTATTGTTCCAGATGGTCAAGAAACTTGATTCAACAAGAAAAGCAGGAAAAAGGACAACCTAGGAAGGGCAGAAACAGTGTCAAAAGTTTCCACTGAAGAGAAAATACATTACTATTTCAAATATTACATCTGTACAGCTGTCTTCAAAGAGAACTCACATGCAGTAGGTAAGATTTATCCCACTGTGGAGAGTTAAGGAAAAGAAAAAGAAAAAAAGTTCAAGACAAGCTTTTTTTCCCCCCTTCGAACATTTAACTTTACAAAACAGCCTACATCATTAGTAATCTAACTGCTGTCAAATTTGCCAAATTTAAATCAAAACAATATAAGCAAGATTTAAAGTAATGGAAACCACTAAGAATAAGAATTTTCTTTCATTAAACCTAATGCTTCTAATCAGTTTAACTTGACGTTGGCTTTTTTCTCTACTGCAGAAAGAACTGTACTTTCCTTAAAATTGTAAAGGAATTTTGTTGGCATAAGTCATATGAGTACAAATCACAGTATCCCCATTCCTTAATTAAGCCTTTAAATAAAATTTACACCTAAGATATAACAGACTTTGAGTCCAATGGCAGACTTGAGACTCTTTACCCACATATATGTAACTTATCCTGTGTTGCTCTAATGTGCTTGTGGATTTCAATCCATTGGCTGAGAATGATATTTGAAATGAAGAGGACAAGATTTGAGGAATAAAGTATCCTTGATCACAGTGCATAAAATCAGCAAGTTCTTACTTTGTTCATGATTAAGCAGCATACAATCAAGTGTTTTCATTACAAAAATTGTTACAGGCCTAGGAACCAAAGAAAACATTTGTAGAATAAAATGATGAACTACTGTCAAAAATAAAATCTGATCAAGTTTAAAAATTGCGTAAGATTATTGTACATACAAAAAAACAGCTCACAAACTGGGAGACCTCAAACCAAAATGGTTGGAAGCCCCGCTCATAGCAGTTACAGCACCCTTCATAAAGCATAAACGAAAAGATTTTGTCCTCTTTTGTGATTGGCTGTTACGCATTAACATTCTTTTTAAGGAAAACGGAGCAGTTTAAGTTAATCAGTCTTTATATTTATCTCCCCTTATCCTCAGGGATATGGTCCAAGACCCACAGTGGAAGTCTAAAACCAAGGATAGTATCAAACCCTATATATTCATATCTATGATAAAGTTCAATTTATAAATTGGGCACAGTTAAGAGATTAACTAATAACAAAATAGTAGAATTAGTAAGCTAGCATCACTACCTTTGTGCTTTGGGGCCGTTATTAAAGTAAAATGAGGGTGGCTTGAACACAAGCATTGAGATACCATGAGTGATCTAGCCAGGCCCTGAGTGACTGAAGGGCAGGCATCTACAGTGAGGACCCATTAGGCAAAGGGATAACTCACCTCCTGGGTAGGATGGGCAGGATGTTGAGATTTCATCATGCTATTCAGAATGGTGCACAATTTAAATCCTAAGAAATATTTCTGAAATTTCCCATTTAATATTCTTGGACTGAGTGGCCCATGGATTACAGAAACTACAAAAAGCAAAACCATGGAGAAGGGAGGACTACTGTAGTTGATCAATGCTGCCAAAGACGTAAAGCTTAGATTTTGTGTTTTGCTTATAATTAGAGTAGGCGTTCTGGAAAAATCAGAATGACCCAAATTTTTACCATGTGGCTCTAGGTTGTTGGCCATGGGGTATATTTAAATTGTAGCCTCTGTTTTTATTTTTCTTTAACACTGTCTATTCAAAAGAATTCTCTATGACCAGAACAATAATTGTGAACTACCCCCAAGGTGGCATCAAAATTGTCACACAGAATATCTTTGTTTCAAAGGGAGTTTACATGTGATGCAAGACTTGCAAGCAGCACAAAAAGTTCATAGTTTTTATCAGCTGCAAGAGTGACTGTGAAATGGTTACCTATTAGCAACAAAATCTCAGAGAGCCTCCTCCATATTTTCTCTGACCAGGCAATCCCACCACTTGAAAATCCCCCCAAAAATAAAGTGACACACTAAAGAGACAGTACCATGTTAGTTTCTGAAATTTTATTATTTTTAATACATACAGTTCACAAATAGAAACCCTCTAACACCAAGCACAATTCCACAACCAAGTGTTTCAATTTTGTCAACATTCTTTAACTATTTACACTGTCATCCCTCAACAAAAGTGCAATCCAAGACATCTTGACAAGAAATCTTTACTGACAAGAATATATTTTTGAGCTGGTCTTAATGGAGCCCATCCGTTATATTTTCTTTCAATTACCTGTAATAACAATAAAGTCAACAGGACATGGAGATGAACTGGGTTAGGCAGCGTCCTATTATAGGAAACAAAACACTAAACAAGAGCACTTTCTCACCTCCTCCCCAACCGCCAATGAAAATTACTCAACAGCTGCTACTCGGAGACTAAATAGAAAAGCAAACTGGAGTTACTCACCTGGGCACAAGGAAATAGACTGCATGTAAAGCACTGATATTGTTGGACTAAACAAGAGATTTCAGCAAGTAAGTTTTGGTGCTCTAATAAGTTCCTTATCAGTCTGTCTGTTAGTTTTAGGGTTTAAATACCTAATAAGATTCTTTCTTGATGAGTTAATTTTCCCCAAACAGATATGAAAATAACTTTTATTCAGAAAATGAACATCTTTCATAAAAACTAAAAATTAAGGGGCATTTGGAGAAAGCTCCTTTGCCATTAGAATGGATAACTGACCCAACTCTCAACACGGTCATGGCACCGTGTCTATCATGGCACCACGGCTATCTTTTAAGTAAAAATCCAGCATACCAATTGCTTCAGACGTAACAAGAGAATGAAGAGCTACGATGGTCTGAAAAGAAAACAATCAGAAATTGTCTTGTGACTAAACTAAAGCAGATATTTGTATTTGTTCAAGGTATAAAACTCTTAAAAATTAATGATTTAAAAATATTAAGAACAGATGAAAAATCACTTGGAAAGTAAAAAAAAAGAAAAAACCAAAAACCGAAAAAGGAAAAAAAAAAAACAGAAATCAAATCTCTTGGGTAATTAATATCCCTCAGTATTTTGACCACAACAAAAATAATAATCTTTCTTGACATATTCCAATTCCAGTCAAGGTATTCTGGGCAAGCCTGGAGTATTAAGGTCAGCAGATTTCCAAAATAAGATTTCTCAGCCAGGCTCAGCCTGTAATCCTGCGCCTTGGGAGGCTGAGGTGAGTGAATTGCCTGGGCTCGTGGGTTTGAGACCCGCCTGGGCAACTTGGCGAGACCTCATCTCTATAATAAATCAAAAAATCAGCCGGGTGTGGTAGCACATGCCTGTAATTCTGGCTACTTGGAAGGCTGAGGCGGAAGGATCGCCGGAGCCCAGCAGGTCGAGGCTGCGGTGGCCGGGAGCAGCAACTGCACTCCAGTCTGGGCGACAGAGTGAGACTCCAACTCAAAAAAAAAAAAAAAAAGATTTCTCTTTATAGTGTTGCATACTCAATTACATTTGATTCCCAAATGCAGCCAAATTTTCCCTTTAGATAATAAGAATGAATTGCTTTAAAGGCAAAAGATATTCTCGGGTAAAATACTCATGCTTCTGTCATTTCATAACTGTATACATCCATAGAATCCTAACTTTATAATCAAAATAATGTCCTAGAGCAAATTTTACCCAATTACAGCGAGATCTCATCATAATTATTTTTCTGAGGGGAGAAAACAACCTAAAAAGAAAACATGAAATGCAGCATACCCTACATTCACAGCAGTTTTAAACTCAGGAGCTTGCTGAACGCAATGTGTGGGTCAACTTTAGCCTTCAGAACAACAACATAATGCAGGTTTCACTATAAAATTTTAGGTGGGTTAAAGACCAGCATTACAAATATTTTACTATTTTAAATTCAGAAATAAAATCCAAGTGGTACTCTGAAGACAAGAGAAACTTACCAATTGTTATATCTGGGCACATGAAAAAAATCAATAGGAAACAGTTAATTCACCATTATAGCTTTGTGTATTACAAACAAATTTGCAAAAAGCTATGTCCTATAGTTCTCTTTTAGTTGCATCAAACACTGCCAGACCAATAATGATTTTCTGCTTCTCACAGGCATTTTGTGCATTTCTCCCCACTGTGAAATATTTTTCAGATCATCAAACACCAAACTAGATGCAGTCAATCAAATAACAATCACCCAAATTGAAAGATGAAAAATATTAGTCAATGCATTGGTTCTTTAATGCTGTGTTGTTTCAAACAAAATATCAAACATTTCATATAGAACTGAGACTCGCAATAATGTCTAAACACTTCTGAGAGGAAAATCCACACTGTGGGGAAAAATGGTATAAATCAAATAAGTAATATAAAATGTTCACACCAATCCCAAATTTGGCTATCCATAAAATTTTTATATTTTCTGCATTCCTTCAGCATATAAGCATAGCATACATGAAATTACCAAATTCATTTTTGAGAAGTCACATTCCAATTCTATAAGGGTACAGAATGTCAGTCTATGTAAATCACTAAGATCTACTGAACAGAAGGCGAATTTTGGAATGCCCAATACTCTGACTAAGCAAGTTCTATATATAATCAGTTTTTCCTCAACAGTAAGGTGTCACGGGACTCTTTAGAATGATCTATTTTTCAAACATTCTGCTATGCAGTATAGTCAATGATTTTCCAAATAAAACAAACTTTTAAAAGAAATATTATTTTCTTCATCATCCTCTCAAACTATTTTTTTCCTTTTCTTCCTAAGGTCAAATCTTTGATTTTGGAAACCCAGCATTAAATGGGTTAAACGTGGCCATAAGTAATTCTGGGGACAATAAGTGTGGTAATTATTGGTTCTGAAGCTCACTAGTTAGATTTTGTCACTGTGAGACTGACCTGTGAAAAGAATCTGACACCAAATGACACTTTGGCAGTGCAACTTGTAATAAATCCTCACTGCTCAAATCATGTTATTCATGGATTCTCTTTAAGAGCTATTTTGGCCAACTTCAAAGACACAATTCAAATGACAGAGTTCTGCCTTTTTGCCCTTGAGTCAGCACGCATTATTTCCAAGTTCGTTTCATATATTCTTTGTTATAGGTCAGCTAACCTAAAAATATTTGCAACATCCATTGCTTTCATATGTGTCTTAGAATTTGAATATTATTTTCAGTATGACAAACTGTTAAATTACAACAGTGATAGCAACAGCACTCGTGCCACTTTCAAATCATCTGTCAGTATGAGTAAACTGCACTGTCCACGTGTGCTGCAGATCACTAAGCCAAGAAAGGCTAATATGCTATTAGCTCTCCAGGCACAGACTTACATTCACTGGTCACATGTTTTTCCCAAGGCCCAAGGAAGATCTAAAAGGGGCATTTAGAAAGTTAACCTTTTAGTAGGAGTCTCTTTCTAACTCCTCTCATGCTTTTAGTTTAGAACCACATAACCCTGCTCCTAAACTGACCCCATCTTCCTGCCACCTTGCAGCTGCATCAGAGACTCTTGGTGAGAATAAACCCCAACCCAAACTCACAGGATCACTCATCTGGGCTCTGGTCACAACCGAAGACTAACACTTGGGAGTCAAGACAGGGCAAAGGGCAGCCCCCACTTTAGTGGCGCACATACACAAAGTAGCTCTCCTTTAAATTAGAAAAGAAATTAATGTCACAGAATGTTTCCCTATAAAAGATATGTAATAAAGTAATAATATCAATAAAATAGCTATTACTAAAGCAAAGCTTTCATCAATAAGCTTCAAGAACTTTGAAGGAGGAGAATGGCTTCACGAAATGGTAGTCGAGGTTCCCACAGTGTGGACACTGCTGGACGTTGCTGTACTCAGAGAAGTACTGCATCCCGATCCGCACGTCGATCACGGGCTTCCCACAGTGCTTACAGTTCAGGCGGGCCTGGGGAAACACACACTGTGAGCCACAGTACCCTTTGGCTTCGCAGCACTCATCAGAGGCGTCCATGCCACAATGCTGGGAAACTGATTGAATCTAATAAAACATCTCTTTTATCATCAAAAACAGAGAAACAGGAGATGCCTGAAAGAATCCCAATTTCTCTCTTGATACACAGCACTGCTAGCTGTTTCACATACTAGTGTGGAGAAAATTCGACCACTAGCACTGCCTAACCCTCCCCACTAATGTTCCCTTAACAATAACAAGCCTCCCCCGGGGTTTAAGAGAGTGGCTGAAGCTGAATTCCCTCACCCAAACCTGCATGAAACTTCTTTGAAGATTCTGGGTTTATTTTTAAAATTCATATTCATTCTTCATTCTACTCCACACAGCATTTGTGTTTTCTTTGATGCAAAAATAAAATTTCCCTAAGTTACTCGGGTAAAATAAGCAATCCAGGAAGAAGTGCTATGCTGATCTGAGGTTTCCAGAGTTCCATTAAAAATTCTGATTAAAAGATCCTGAGCAAACCTCTCTCTTTAGCCTGTTATAGCTTTCTAGTAACTAATTACTAGAGCTGTTTTATTGGAAGATTTCTCTTGATTCCTTAGCAGTATCTAACTTGTATCCTCCTCACAGTGACTATCATCAGTTGATTTTTAAAAAAACAGCAATTGAACAAGTTTTCCTTATCAGTAGGTGGCCAGAAAAACAAAGGCCTGGGCTTAAATTGTTTTAAAGAAGTACAGTGTATAGTGAGTACACCAAGAAGTTGGGTGTGGAGGAGGCTATTTTGTTTTGCTCCCTAAAGATATGGAAATAATCCCACTGCCTTTCAATGGTGCAGTAGAAAGAACACCAGAAAGGGGATTATAGGTTTTAGTCATGGCTGTGTCACAACCTGTGTAAAGCTTGGTGAAGCATTCACATATTTTAGACCTCCATTGTTTGTGGAAAACAAGGAGGCTGGACTGGATCACCCAGGTCCTTGCCAATGCTAGTGTTCTATGAGTTAACAGGTCCAAGTACTCTTTCACCACCCTATTTCTCTAATTTAAAAAATGACCTTCCATGGTGTGTGCAGAGAAGGGAGCCACTTCCTTTGGTTTCTCTCATCTCAAGAGCTGGCAATTAACTATAAGACGCTACGGTGAATAACTAAAAAACTGTGATATCTCATTTCCAAGGCTCAGTTTTAAAAGGAAAATGTGGTCAACGCTTTAGAATAGCATAAAATTAGCCAATCCTACCTGGAATCAAAGGAAGGGTGGGTTACAGATGACTATTTAGGTCTCTCAAGACCCAATGCTCTTCTGAGAAACACTAGCATAGCCAAAATATAGTTAAAATACTGATTCTAACAAACTTTTACTTCAACAAACACAGGTTATCTTTGGAATAAACTGACAATAGTAAAGATATTCTCTTTACAAAATCTCAAGCCATATGCTAACAATATAAAGATATGCAGTAACTAATAAAGTATATATCAGTTTTCTGTATTAAAAGCTTAGATAATGAAGAATATAGGAAAATTTCTCCCCTACCCATGAATATCAAGGAATTAGTAACAAGCTCTTTTTTTCCCCAAGCACTTGGAAATTAGCCAAGATATTTTCAAGGATTTTGGCTCCTGTGTTTCTATGGATTTATTTAATATGTTTTTATAGGTTAACATTTCCCTCTTTTCCTGATGACAGCTACATTTCTAGCGTTCTCTTAGCATCAGAAAATGCCTCCTCTTAACAGTGCTTTAATGATTACAATTCTTTCATGTCAACCTCAAACACCTTATAAGGCAGAATTCTTGGGAAATGGTACTGTCCAATAGAAAGAAAACAACAAGAAAATCCTGGCTTATTAAAGAAAGTAAAACTTTCTTTTTCCTTTTAAATAACATCTCTTTCTTATTAGAAATTTAGTGTAAGCTAATCATACAAAATGTTAAAAAACAGATACACAGCAAAAGAATATGAAAGGAGCCATTCTACCTCCTGTCATGGAGACTGTATATAACCATCTAGTGAGTGCTTAGAAGATCCCCTTTCATGCTTGCTTATTTACAGATGCAAACATATTACTATCCCATTTTATAACCTTTTTTAACTTAATATACTATAAATACTTCCCACATAATCTTATTTCACACTATCCTTTTTAACAACTGCATAGTATTCCACTAAATAGCTACATCCCAATGTAGTAATTTAGCCATCATTCCCAGACTCTGGGGGAGTTTTATGACTGAATTCCTTCTTTACTGTCAGAAGCATCTTCTTCTACATTCACTTGGAGACAAAAATCCAATATCACCCACTGCTCCCTCAGTAGGTCAATACCTACCTGACAGCATGGAGAGGCAGCCAGGATGTCGTAAGTGTACATGGTGCCCAACTGGTGCCAGCTGCCATCCCACCGAGACTTACACTTGATGCAGATGATCTTGTGAACCCCCTCCAGGCAGTCCACACACACCGCATACAGGTGCATGAGTCTCCCTGTGCACAGAAGACACAAGGCTCAGAATGGCCATCGTGAAAATCACATTTTATCTCCAAAGAGGATTTTTTAAAAAAATGCCTCATCTACCAATTATAAGCAAACATTTTATTATTTGGATAAATATAAAAAGAAAAAAGAAAAACATTTATCACACAAGCTGTTTTTATAGAATAATGATGAATTACTATTGTCAATAAGATAGGTACCTTAAGTTCAAGCTTATTAAAAACTTGCTTCAATTCATTTTTCCAAAAACGTGATTCTGGGTTTACATAACATGTAATTCAAATAACAAAGCCACATTTACGCAAAACCAGCCTGTACTGGATCCTTGCAGAACTTACTGCTCAGAAGTCTATGTGTGGCAAATGCAGACTAAACCAACAATGCTGGCCTTGCCACAGGCTCTCACCCACATCCCATCATAAAAAAGTCCAAAGTCTGTCTTGGAATCACTAGCCCAGAATTACACCACAGCCAAAATTACTATGTTAACTATCCTTGTTCCCAAAACTACTCAGTCATCACCACATCTAACTTAGGAACCAGAATTCTACTTAACTTGTGATTTTTTTTTTTAAAGGGAGTTCAATGTCTTATTGTTTACTGGGCTCTTAAAAGTAAACAACCCCATTCCTCCATTACTTATCAATATTTTAATGTGTAAAAAGGAAAGATGTCATCCAAGAGTATGTGGAAGGGTCAGAGGGCAAGTAAATGGGAGAGAGTCAGAATGTCCAGGATCCACCTGGCAATGTATAATAGCAACATTTCTGCCCTGTGTGGGAACTGAGGAGCTCCACCCCGTTAAAAATGACTATCAGCAGAACACAGTCCCAAGTGGCTTCTTACTCAGAACATGCTGCTCGGTGCCATCAGTCAGTCTGGGTCTGCACCACTCAGTAGGCAGGACCAGCCTGATCCTTACCTATGGTACTCAAGAGGAAACCGTTCGATTGTCTTTGCTTACATGACTTTCTCCCTTCCTGAGGTCAAGGACCACCACATCTAATCATCTTTGTAGATTAGCACCATGACTGGAATATGAAAAGCACTCTGTAAGTGTGTGTTGGCTAGGGCATGTTAATGGCCAAAGACAGCATACTGTGGGAGCTCTATGCCAGAAATGGGAAGCAAGACAACAGCTACTAGCCGTCCTACTCACCTCAGCTCTAGGACACTGAAATTAAAATGTCTCACATGTCACACCCACTCTCAGTGGCCTGGGGGCATGTCAGGAGGTCAGTTTAAGGAACCAGGAGCTACTGGAAAACCCTTCATTTGCAACCTCCCTCCAACTTAATCAATGCAATTCCCAAACATTCACCTGTACATAGGTCACTGAGGGCCTGGAAGGGCAATGGCTGGAGCAGACACAGGAATCAAGTGTTGATAACAGTAACCATGATGAGTACTTGCCAAGGGTCTGGCACTAGGCTACAAGCTCCACAAGAATCATTTCCTTTAGCCTTCCCAGCAGCACTAGAAAGTAGGCATTACTGTTACTCCCCTTTCAGATGGGGGGGGGGGGGCAGGAGGACAGAAGAATGGACGGGACTGCAGCTTAGAGAGCTTGAGCAGCTTGCCCAAGCTCATAAGATAGTAAATAGCAAAGTCCAGGCTTCATGTCTGTCTGACTCGTAACCTACCAGCAAATCAACAGGAATGCCTGGTCTGGACTAAGACTCCAGATTTATATCAGAGATATAAATTATAACTGTCCTAAATACAGAGAATTTTATATTTCCAAACCCTAGGATTGTGAGCTTAAACAAAATGCACATTCTGGAGAGAACAATCACATATGGTTCAAAGTGGTAAAGAAGCCCAATGAGAACTTCCTAATTAGATCAATCTTAATAAATTATTAAAGCCAAACAAAACATTTTATCAATGGAAGAAAGAGAAAAGAGGCCAGAAGCACAGTCAGGGGAGGGCAGTGAGGGGAAAAGGGCCGGGTGAGGGAGTGACAATCCTGTGCACCTCTGAAAACAAGTACTGTGGCAGCAGACCATCCCTGCAGACTGCAGGATCCTGTGGCTTGGGACATGGCCTTCCTTCTGGAGTGGAAAATGCTCCAAAGAGTGCCTGGTCAGGACATAGTGATTAAAGAAATGATTTGTGCCAGCTAACTATAAATGAGATCACACGAACTTCTCCAAGATGTAGCATTAAAAACACTGTTATGCGATCAAGGTCTTACTTTTGGCCCCAATGACTTCTCTGGTACTGATTAAACTCCCTGACCTTCAGATGTTATAATCAACAGTTCAACTCCTCAACAATGTTGTAGTGCACCCCTAACATACTCATTATCTATTAGTGTATGTTTATGTGTTTACCTGTATGCGTACACATACACATACATACTTGGGTCTAATTTTCACTTTTCTCCATCTGCTCCCTAACAGGTACCCTCAAGATTTAGTTGTAAGTCCTGTCAGATCCTTTTCTCGTTCTCTCTTTTCTCCTCATTCAAGAGCTCTCCCAATACTGTTATAAAATAAGTTCCCTAGTTATAAAACAATTGTTATAAAAGTAAATAAAATAATACAAAATATTATAATATAATATATAATAATATAATACAAATTAATTCTCCATCCTAAATGTTTATTTCTAATCATGCTTGCTAGACATCTCCACATAAAACTCTCAACATCCCTTGAAACCTAATACACACAAGCCTCATCTTCTGTCCCCCTAAATCAGGTCCTTTTCCCTTTCCCTACTCCTGTCTGTGACTACACCATTTATCTGATCTAGAAACAAAGTGAGCCAACAACGGCTCTTCTTCCTCTTCTATGGTCAAAATCCAAGAGCTATAATTTTCCTTTAAAACAGCATCTTACGATATCCCCTCCAGTCTTTCTTTCCATCCCCACTGTCCCACCCCGCTATCTCTTATCTCCTTGCATCTAGTCTAGAGAAATGGTTTCAACTCTGTCTCCAGGTCCCACTCCTTTCAAGTCAACTTTTCCCCCAAGTGATTGCCTGCTTTACAAAAACATTTTCAAAACTCTTCAATCCATATTCATAAAGAACAAGGCAAAGCTCTTTATTATGGCTTGAAAAGATCCCCACAATCCTTTTTTTCCCCTATCCTATTCATTTTCCACTCCAGGACACCTCCAATCAAACAGTTCTCTTCCTATCTCCTGAACATAAACTGCCCCCCCCCCCGCTTTTTGTTGCAACTACCCTTACTTTACTTAGGATACTCCCCCTCCTTATCAACCAACACTTGACATGACTAGACCCTGTGTGCTGACCAAGATCCAGCCCAGTTTTGGCAATGGCCTTCACGCTGACTCTTTTGACTAACCTGGCCAAAGTGGCCCCTTCCTCCTTAGAAATTAAAGAACACTTAATGTACATAATAGCCAGGTGTTACTAGTTCCACCTGGTACTAAAGCCTTAGGCTTGGTAAAGTAAGTTACCTTTTATAAAAAGGGTCTTATATCCTAAGATTATAAACTGATGACAGGCAAGGACTCACAGTATCCAGCATGTGTGAAACCCATAAGTTTAATCAACTGAGAACGGATAAAGTCAAAAGAATGTGCCCATGATGCACAGAGAAAAGACTACTACTACTCTCATGAACCCTCATTCATCTTTATAAAGAATGTTTTGAGATTTAAGATGGAGAAGTTAAGGTGTTTCCACCCACTTCCCTCTAAAATTACCCTTAAACAGGATAAGGAATCAAACTCCATCTTCCATGAAACAATGAGATACCTCAATCCTAAAAACCAATATATATGAGGTCAGAAAGCAGACTGAGGAATGGCAAATGGTTAAGCTCTGAAACTGGACAATAATTACTGGAGAGGGTCGAATAAGGCACTGAAAGGGAAACAGTGGAGTGTAGTAAATTACAAATGACCACGAAGTCTATGCACCTCTTTCTATCAATAAGCAGAGTATTTCAGCATCCTCTGAACCTGTGCTAGTCATCTTAGGACATATTCTGATGAGCAAAATGTGACAAAATTGATGTTACTCAGTTCTAAGATTAAACCTCTAGAGAGAGAGAGACCCTGCAGTTTCTACTCCTACCTTCTTGAATGCTGTCCTGAGAACACCATGTTGAAAAGCCCAAGCTAGGCTACGGAAGATGAAAGACTACATGGAACACAGATGAGCATTCTAGCTGAAGTCATCTGTGGCCAACCGAACTGTTCTAGCCAGTCCTCCTATAGAACTGTAAGAAGTCTTTAAATCATCCTTTTTAACCATTTGGAGTGCTCTACTTTATAACAAAGGCTAACAGGTATATGGGGTTAGGTAAAATTCTCAAAATGAATGAAACTACTCCCTACAATTTCAGCTTCTTTTCCTTGCTCAGAAAGGTAGCACAAGAAACTATCTAAGTGAAACAAGAACAGGACACTATTTTTAAAAGCTCTTGGAAATTAAAAGTATAAGAACAGAAAACTTAAAAATACTGGAAAATTTTTCACAAAGCAGAATAAAGAAGTGAACAGGGCCACATATGATTGATTCTTTTTCTGTTGTTCTTTTTTTGTTGAGGTGGAGGATATAAAATAATCAATCTAAGAGGTACAATATCTGATTAACAGGCATTTCACAGTTGTTGTTTTAAGTGAACAACAAGTGTTCTAAGTGAACAAGTTCTAAGTGAACAACAAGTTCTAAGTGAACTTAGAACAACAAGTTCTAAGTGAACAACAAGTAAACAAGTGTTGTTTAGAGAGGAGGAAACTATTAAAGAAATAATACAAAAGAAATTTCTCCAAACCAAAGGGTCAAGAAAGTCAGAAAGCACAATGAGTGGAGGAAAAAAAGAGACCCATATCACGGTAAAATTTCTATATTAGGGATACAAAAAGAAAAATCTTAAAACCTTCAGGGAGGGGTGGAGGTGGAGGCAATGACAGGAATAAGAATAATATCAGACTTGTCAATGGTGACACTGTAAGACAGGAGACAGTAAAAAAATGCCTTCAAAATTCCAAGGGAAAAATATTTATAACTTAGAAGACTATACCCAGTTAAAGAGCAATCAAGTATGAAGATAAAAATCACAATATCTGCAGACTTTCAAAATCCCAAATCATCTATGCCTATAATTCCCTTTCTCAAAAAGCTCCTGGGGTATGTTTCCTAACAAATTGAGAGAATAAACCAAGAAAAAATATAAAATGCTTCTAGGAAACACAATTTTAAAAACAGGAAAGAAATGAAGGCATTCCTAGAAGGACAGCTATGTAGTATGGTTGGCCCTGAGTGCACCAGGACAGAAAAGAACAGAGGATAAAAGTCTCCAAGAGGGGCATTTTCTTTTCTTTTTAATAGAGATGAGGTCTGCTATGTTGCCCAGGTTGGTCTCACCTCAGTCTCCCAAAGTGCTGGGATTAAAAGTGTTACCTCATGAGGGACATTTTCAGGAAAAAAAAAAAAACCTCAAAAAATGTCTGACAGGTTTATAGAAATGTTTCTGCAAGATAGTTTGTAAAACTTCTAGGGAGTGAGAACCACCAGTCGAAGTTTAAAAGAAAAAAACAGGAAAATGAAAATGAGAATCAGTTAAGGCTTTAGTACCATGTGGAACTAGTAACACCTGGCTATTATGTACATTAAGTGTTCTTTAAAAAAGACAATAGGTGTTCTAAAATATACTGACTCCAAAAATTTTTTTAAAACCCCTATATTCTTGGCTCCTTATTAAATATAATCACAATAATAAACACAGCAGGGATTTAACCAAGAATTGTGATATATTATCCCAAGAGAAAGGAGAAGAGGAATAGATATATGGTCATCCAACTCAAAAGTAAGTCAATAAATAATGTCTAAAATTGGAGAATGAAGATAGCAGTATTTAAAATAATGATGTTAAAAACCTGAAGCATCACTTAAGGTTTGAAAGTGTTTTTCTTTGGGGACTGAGACAGCAGGGTTTGACGGAAGGAGACAGGTAGGGATATGTCATATTTACTACAGGTTTTTATAACACGCATTTTAAGCATAAGCATGTTATCTGTCATATATCTCATCTTTATGGAAGTTCAGTAGTTTTCATCAACTGACAGATTTTTCACTTATACTAACCAATTCCCTGTCATTCGATTTATGGCTAAAATGTACCAAGTCCTTGTATAACATCCGCAGGAATACTAATTTTGCCACTAGGCTAATGTCTGAGCATTCAATAATTCTATATTTTCCTTTTGCTGCTGTCAAGACAGTCTCATCTTATGCAAATTTCAAAATTAATTCAACCAGTCTAAAAACACCTTGGCCCTTTCTGACCCCCAACTTTTCCTCACTGTTATGTCTACAAGGATCAAAGAGAACACACAGCTTGCTGGACACATTAAAACAAGTTTTAATGGCAACTATTTTACAGCAAGTGACAAATATACAATTCCTTCTCTGAATTTCCTTCCAATTATGAAAAACTATATACCAACAATCCTCTCTCCAAATTACAACAAACACAAAATTACCCATCAGGGTACCTGTATTTAGTACTGTGACATCAGAGTATAAAAATCACCAACACCTTACTGGGTAAAGCTGAAATACTCAAACGTTACCGAGCACCTGCCTAGAACATCGTCATCAACAAAAATCCAATCAGGAAAAATTAAGCCAAAATAGAGCAATTCTGTCTTGTTTGCTGTTGGGTTTGTAACAAACAGAAAGCAGGCAAGGTGAATTAACACCTATACCTTGAAGGTGACAAGGAACATCATACTCGATCTCATCGTGTCTCGATGGGCTTAAGAACAGAGTTCCGTCCACCAGCGGGAACTGTTCGAATACCGGGAGCGCCCGATGGCACAGAGCACAGTTTACAACGTTTCTGTGGCTGGCACTGAGGGCAGCCAGAATGAACTTCCGCAGATCCTCCCCCTGGCCCACTTGGGCATCATCTTCCATCCGCACATGGAAAGTGTTCAGCTTATGCCTGGGGATGTGAGTGAGGAGCTCGGAGAGGTCCAGCCGCCGCAGGAACTGTACGGGGGCATCGAAGTGTCCCCCCCTGTGGACCGACAACCCAGCCGGACTATAATCAAAGTGAGCATTTCTGAACACGTGGCTTCCTGCCATGGCCTTTTTGTGAGGCTCAAGGTGGATGGCATTCTTTAAGAACTCCCCAAGGTATCTGGAGGAGCGGGGGCCGCTGAAGTGGGCCGGGGAGAGGATGGAGTAGCCTGTGGGTGGAGACTGGCCAGGGGAGCCACAGGGGGAGCGGGTGCCGTAGGTTGTGGCACTGACTGCTTTTTCCTGGGAGTTCTGCCGGTCCATGGAATGCCGTCGCGGGAGGTCGTGGCTCGGGCCTTTCTGGGGCTTATTTTGGGGTCTGCACTTTTTTGCCTCCTCCGCAGCCTCACCAGGAGGCCTCCCTGTGTTCTTCTCCGAGCCAGACTTCTTCTTTTTCTCGTCCTGCATCCGCTTTACCTGGTACCAGTCCGTGTCCTTTTTTAAGTGGCCCTGGCCACAGCGGCAGGAACAGAAGCGGAAGGCCAGGTCGTAGCCCTTCTTCGTCCACATGTTCTGGCGGCACTGCTTCTCGTTCCAGCTGCGGGCCCGGCCGATGCAGTTGAACTGGACAAGGATGCTGCTCTCCCACTCGTAGAAGCACTGCAGGTGCATCCAGGTGCTGCAGGGGCAGTGTTCATTGTTGCAAACCACCTTCTGGTAGTCATCCTTCTCCAGGTCCACTGGCCTCCCAAAGCTGCAGATCAGGGGAGTGGCACATGGGGCTTCTGGGGGACGAACAAAAAGAGACAGATTCAGGGTACAGGACAATGGGATTCCAGCTAACACCAATTCAGAGAGCAGAGCTATCAGTCACATTAACCCATTTATTCAACACACTTTTCCTGGTGTCAAGATTTCTGCCACTGGAACAAACACCAATGGTATGATGCTATGCCCAGGGAACTTGTTTTCTGATATTTGTAATCTGCTGAAAAACATACCAATGAGCATCAAAAAGTACAAATCCTTCACAGTGCAATTAGCTGCATGCCAGTACAGCGGCTGCACACCTCTAATCCAAAAATCTAAAATGCTCCAAAATCTGAAATTTCTTGAACATCATCCATGAGCTCAAAGGAGATGCTCATCGGAGCATTTCAGAATGCAGATTTCTGGATTAGGGATACTTAACCTGTACTTGTAACAGTATGGTATGAGGTTTTTCTAAGACATGGGTATAAAGACAGGTAGTTCCAGGATTCCTCAAAAACTGAATCCTCAAAAAACTACAATGAACTAGGAAATAATATGATGAGACTACTTAACCAACCAGTTCTGGTAGTATCTCCAAACGGGCTCTCCAAGACCTTCATCACAGGCTTTAGGTTGACCTGAATACCAGAAAGAAGTTGGAAAACAGACTGTGTGTACTGGTCTCATCCCCAATTCTCTTCTAGGATGGACTGGCATCTAGTGTCAGGAATGTTCGATCAAACAAATTGTTGATCTACACAGGATTACGCTGCTAGGTTTTGATGGGAAAAAAAAAAAAAAAGAATTCTTCCAAAGCTGTCAGGACGGAAAGTGGGAACAAGATATCTGTACCCTATCTTAAATACACGTCCCCCACACAGAATCCAAACAGCCCGGAAGGGTCCCAAAAAGAAAGGAAAACATGGTGACACAAAGTAGAACACAGTTCTTTAAACGTAAATATGATTTATGGAGACTGAAACTCCATAGATTCCCTATAACTTCTCAATGGTAACTAAATACCTGAGCTTTTGAGTTATTTTTTAAAGTGTCAAAAAGACATGATGAAGCCAATAAAAAGATAAGTGACTGCGAGGGGGAGGGCGGAGGGTGAGATGAACAGGGAGAGCAAGATGATTTTAGGGCAGTGACTCTATTCTGTATGCTACTATCTACAATGCTCATAACACATTTGTCAAACTCCACGGGATGTGCAACATCAAAAGTGACCCCAATGTAAACTATGGAAATGAGTGACAAGAGTGTGTCAATGTATGTTCACCGATCATTCTGATTAATAGTGGGGAGGTGGGAGGTATATGGGAACTCTCTATACTTTCAATTTTTCTGTGAACCTAAAACTGCTCTAATAAATAACATTTATTTTTTTTAAATGAGGAAAAAAAAGGACATGTATGTTTAAGACCTAGTTCTATGGAATACTAGCTGTGTAAAAGTGGACTGGTTACTTCCTCTGTAAATCCTCAATTTCCTCAACCATAAATGGACATCATTATAGGAGCTACCTTCTAGAGATTTTTTTGAGGATTAAATAAGAAATGCTTATAAAGTTAACAGTTTAGTGCAGTACCTGGTACATAAGTCTGCACTAATGTTGTTGCTGCTGTTCTTGATATTAGCTGGGATATTTTTACTTATAAAGAAAGCTGTGAAATGAGGTAGCGGAGGGTAGGCTAAATCAGAGATGGCAAAACTGGGGCCAGACTGGGAGATGAGACTGATGGTGCAAGACCAAGGAAGGAGGCCTGATGCCACAGGCCCCTGTGCAGAGCAGGGGGACTGTAACTTATAGGCAGGGATGAGAGGACACTGTAGAGAGCTACACACCTAACAGCCTTCCCTATGTGTGTGTCTCTGCACTTCTACAGTTCTCAACACATACCATCATTCCCCTTGAATTCTTTCCTGAATTTCTGGGCTGTTTCATCACCATCCAGTTCTTCTTTTGCCTCACATTCCCCAAAATAAACACTCCCCAGGAGGAATCAGCATTTTCTCCTCCTCACTCCTTCTAGGCAGAAACTAAACATTAAACCTGCCATTTCTTATAAGGGTACAACTTGTATTTGGACAATTCTCTGCAGGATGGGGCTGTCCAATGCATTATGGAAAGTGAGATGAGCTTCAATGGGCCCTGAGCACTCAGCATCTGTAGCCCCCACACACGCCCCACCCTCCCCATCATGATAACCCCAACATGTATAAATTTTCAAAGGGCCCCTTTGGAGGGCCTACACTGCCCCCAATTGGGAACCTCTGGGCTTGGTTAGGAAGGTTGCACATGTCATGCATAGTAGTTGAGACTGTATCTCTGATATATGAGAAGCTGAAAGAAGATGCTCGTCCTTGGAGTTCTATTCTAAAAAAACTCCCCTGGTGGCAGGGTGGGGCATGGGACTGGAGGCAGGGAGCCCACTGCAGTCACAGACTGATGGACAAGGGAGGCTCAGGCTGGATAGAAGACTGGACTGCCCTAATTTGGATCTGCTGAGCTTAAATGCCTGTGCACCACTGAAGTGGGGAGAGACATGAAGCTGACTGGACCTCAAAAGAGTCAGAGCTGTGAATACAGACACAGAGTCACTTGCCATGAGATGGAGGTCAAATCTCTGGGACTAATGAGATACCCCAGAGGAACAGGAAGAGTAGGCAGAGACCCCCCAAAAGAATCCAGGAAGCAAGAACTGGAACAAAGGCTGGAGAGGAGTCCTCCACAGAGACTGGTGAGGAATAAACTGAGAGTCCACTAGAAGACAAGTCAGGAGAGAATTACGTCAGGACAGTTGGGAAAGTTTTAAGAATGGACAACTGTAAACGTCCCAGAGCACCAGGTAAGGTCAGTATCTGCACTGTTGACATTTGGGCTGGATAACTCTGTTGTGGGAGCCATCTTGCGTGCTGTAAGATGTCCAGTAGCATCCCTACCCTCTGCCCACCAGAGACCAGCAACATTATCTCACTCAATGATGACACAAATGCCCCCAGGTATTGCCAGATATGCCGGGGGGCAGGGGGATCACAAACACAAAACTGCCCCTGGTTGAGAACTGGCAGATAAGACAAGCCCAAAGAGTCATAACTGGAATGAGCAGTGAGCCAGGCACTGCCTCTGCAGGGAGGACAACTCCAGTCCAGTAAGGACAGCAGGTCAGAGACGGCAGTGAGGAGAGAAGAGACAGAAACGGATGGCTTCAGGAAACTCTTTCCAGAGTGTAACTGAGAAAGGGGTGAAAATCATGGGCCGGAGACAGAAGACAGCAGCAGCTGAGACCTAAGCATGTTCAGGAACCACGAAAACAAATACCAAAAACTCAGGAAAGATTAGAGATGTAGGAAAGGAAAGAAGCAACACGACTCTCCTCTCAAAAACCTTCCCAACCTTACCACTGCCCACTGAATCACACAATGACGTTCCATCGAGTCAACCAGCAGAGGCAGGAGGACCCATCAGGCCTGTACAAGTAGTAGTTCGGACTATGGGATGTCACCACTATCCTCTTCAATGTGGGATTCCAGGGCCTTTGCAAAATGGCCCTAAACCAATTTGTCTGTCTCTGCGTATTTGATCACTTGCCTTCCCCTTAATCTTCATTTGTCCAAATCCTACTCAGTCCAGGACAGCAATTCACAGTACAAACTGCAACCAGACCACCTGAGTTGGAATCCCAGCAGGACTACTGATGAGCTGTGTGCTCCTGGACAAGTCACTTAACTTCTCTTCATATCAGTTTTCTCTGTATGAAATACAGATAATAACAGAATATACTGTGCCTGGTTGTTACAAGGATGAAAAACCAGATACACACTTAGAGCTTAGAACAGGGCTTTTCTCCCTCTCCTCCTACTCCTTCAAGGTCCACCTCTAGACACCATTTCACAGGGCTTCTCTCCCCTGCACCCTGACTCCCCACAGCATTTCTGGTCTGGCCTGAATCTTACTCCAGTCCCTCACTGAAACCACCATCATAAAAATGCCTTTATAAAATTAATAAAAGCCTATAAGGTTAGAATTGTAAAAGGAGTCTGAATTCTGTCATGTTCTGGGGGTAAGGGGAGCTGCCACAAGGCTGATGAGCATATTTTCTCTTAATGAATAAGCCCTTAGAGCTCACAGACCTCCTTGAGGGCAACCAGAAGTTTGATCAGCTGAACAGGCATTAGCAGCTTTGATCATCCTCCCACATACCTTCCATAGTTAAACCATTGATCACAAGATGTGTAACTTTCCCAATTGCTCCCATAGATAACATAAACCTAATTCTGGTCTTTGAGATGTTTCACACTTTGCATTCCGGTGGACCAAGGGCCCAACCTGAACCTGTGACCTGTACCAAGGAACTGACTCAACCCAACACCCCCCAATACACACCCAGAAACTGACTCTGCGCAGATAGTTTTGACATCTTTATGACTTCCTTCATTCCCAATGAATCAACAGTACCTATTCCCGAGCCTCCTGCCTGCCAAATTATTCCTGAAAAACTCTAGCCAAAAATTCTCGGAGAGGCAGATTTGATAGAATATCTCCCATCCTTGCTCAGATTATTAAACTCTTTACTGCAATACTGCTGCCTCCATAGTACACTGGCTCTTTTCCGTGCAACAGGTGTAAGAACTCGGTTAGGCTGTATTATCATTATGGCAACCCTCATCATGGTCCCCACTGGCTGATGATTCAGGAGAGGATGCCTCTTACTCATCTTTGTGTTCCTGGCACCACCGGGCCCAGCTTTGTACAACTCCAGTGCTGAATAAAGTTGCATTAAAGACACTGGTACATCAAACCCACACATGTCAAGAAAAGCAGAATAAAAAGAGAGAGCTGTACTCCTAGACAGAAAGACCTGAACGTACTAAAGGACATCAAAAAAAAAGTGGAAAAGAGGGATATTTTGAGACTCTGAGTAAATTAAACTGTAGTCACCTGGGCTGTGACCTTCAGTGTCCTTTAAAATGCTAATTAGTCAATTAAGTTCCATTGTTTTTATCTTCATCCATCAGAGGACTAGCC